CAATGAAAATTAATTGTAATTACTATCTTAGTGTTGGTTTGGATACAAAGAAATTTTGGCTCAGGTAAATCAAAGGGCTTGCCCAATGTCACTTGATAAGTCAGAGAAAGATTTTGGACTAATAAATTATCCTCTCTATAATCTTGTGATTTTTCATTCACTACAACCAGTTTGGCTAAGCAAAAAATGCAAAGAAAACAACTTCATGTCTCTGTCATATAGAAGGTTTTAAGGGAACTCAATGGGTATAAATGTTAAATTATGTGATCTCTTTTCTCTACACTTTCAAAGTCATTCAAACATACTTTACAAATGTCAGTTTCCATTATAAATACATCAAATCATAGGGAAATCAAAATGTTAAAAGCATGGTTTTGTTAAAGTGCATTTTGACTGTGTCTTTAAGAGTTTTACTTATTTATCATTTTTAAGTTATTTCCTGTGGAGAACTACCTACACCTCCAAATGGAAATAAGATTGGAACTCAAACTTCATATAGCTCAACAGCTATCTTTACCTGCGATTTGGGATTCATGCTTGTGGGCTCCACTGTACGAGAATGCCTGTCTTCAGGTCTTTGGAGTGGATCTGAAACAAGATGCCTAGGTACAGATTTTTATTTCATTTTAAGCAAACATTCCTCTGACCCCACACTGGAGCGGAAGTATCCCCTTTCCCTTAATATGAGATGATAACTTATATTCACTCAGTAAGGATGCTAAAAACCAGAAAATACTTAATTTAAAAATGGCTCATGATAGAAAAGGTATTAAACCTATAACTCTTAAAGTTAATCAACTAGTATTCCCAATGAAATCTTATGTCATTAAGGAGAGACACATTTTCTTCAAGGAATGGTGAAAATAAATAGATAAAAACTAATTGCTGAAAATTATATGTCTGCATACTCAGCTGGATTAATCACTGTAACGGTTAATTCTTTCTAAACCATAGTCAATTCTCCTTTCACCTATTTGCTTAAGGAAATGACTGAAGAGGAAAAACAATTTCCACATATAAACATCTTTCTCCCTTTTTATTTCAGAAGATATCAACATGTGTAAAACTGCTTTCTATTAAAACTTTACGAATCTATTTTTGAACTTGATTTTAGTCAACTAGGATTTTTTTTTTCCTTTAGGGTTCTCTGAATTTATTATTAAAA